AAATATTTAACAGTTTTTGCCCAAACATGTTTTCATCATTCAAACACTGCTTAATGCACAAGGTTCGTTGTGCAGATTATGCTGAGACTGTGTTGCAGCAGTTAATAAAAAGTATCAGAAAACAACCTCCGACAATGGGGTGAATACAAAGGAGACAATTTGAGAGAAATTATTTTCAGTATGACAGAATTAAGCAAATATAACCATATATATAAGTAGAAAAAATCTTATTACTGTATATATTAATAGTACACAAAGCTCCTCATTACATTGTTAGTTTATTTGTTATATATAAAGTGTTGAGTGCGTACGGGTTCGTAATAAACTGAATGCACAAGTCCGATGAAAAGTGAATAAAATTTATTATTATCAGAACAAATAAAACAAAGTGCTTAAATTTCTTCAGGGATTATCGCACAATATCTCAGAGTAGTTATCTTTTAAACTACTATAACGTTTAACAGAACTTATTTGAACACAGAGAAAGCTAATCCGATTCCACCGCGAATTCGCTACAGTAAGCAATAACAGTTTTCCAAACAAACTGAGCTGAGATATTGTCCTCCCGCTTTTTATAAGCTTTTTAATCAGCACTAGCATAGTCTGGTATTTTCTTGACTTTTCCCGAAAGGCTTTTTCTTCAAATAAATCTCGTGCTGCATTGCACGTAATATAAAACAATTTTAATTAATTCTATTTAAAAATAGCTAAATCAATACAAAAACCGGAACACTGCCCCCTTCTCAAGGACTACATGTCCCGGGAAGTACAGTCCCTGGACAGGAAGCCAAACTTACAAGTAAGGCATCAATGCAATAATAAACATTACATTACAATAACAAACAACATAATGATTGCAATGGTAACTTAATTCAATATACTATCAGATAATAAATACCAATCAAATACTAAATATAAGTCAAATCAAATACAGATTTAAAAACAAAAAGGACAATAGTCTTGCACTATTTACAATTATTTACATTACGTGCTATGGCCGTAGTAATGAGCTAACCTGTCGTAATGTAGGTTTAGAGTTCGATGGCTTACGGATCCGAACCACGACGTCGTTCAGCCCGTTTAGGACTGTGTACGGACCATCCCAAGAAGATTGTAATTTACGACTTACTCCTTTTCGTCGAATAATGGTTCCACAACCATACCTTGTCTCTTTCGTTGAATCGATGTCCAGCAGCCCTCGTGTCGTATCGGGTCTTCACCTTTTCCGTCGCCAAGTTGACTCGCTCTTGCATCACTTCAAACCGGGCCTGGAGATCTTGAATGTATTCTTCAGGCCATGAAGGTGCATCAGGAGAGCGAGCAAACAAAACATCACATGGAGGACGAGGGGTACTACCGATGAGCATCTGGCATGGAGAATAGCCGGTCCTCTGATGTTTTTCTTATACTCTACGTATAATTTCGGCAGCTTTCTGAGCAGGGTCTTCTAGACAAGGAGTCCGCGTTTCCAGGCAGGTAAGGATCCCTTCTGGTGATGAATGGTTATATCCTCTGATGCTGAAAGCAGGGTTTTTTTTGGGGGGGCAAAGGTGCAAGGAAATGGTATTTCCTTAAACAGTCCAGTCCGAGTATGCAAGGATCCGTAATATCTGCCACATATGCCGTCTGATAGTAGGCTACACTTCCAAAGGGGATGTTAACGTTTAACTTCCCAGCTATGGAGATTTTATCACCAGACGCAGTTTGGAGGGTAACACAGGATGGAGTCTAAATGAATTTATCTTTAAACTGTTCAGCTAAATCTCTCCGAAAGATGCTAACATTAGCTCCTGTGTCAATCATCATATTGCAAGGAACTCCCTCGATATGTCCATTGATGGATAATCCATTACTGTTGCCACTCACTGCAGAAATCTTGAGCGCTTTAAAGCAGTGTTTTACATTCTTTGCCAACCTGCGTTCCTCGATATGGTCATTCATTTGTTTCCTCCATAGTTGCTGGGAAATAGTCTTAATTTCCGTACTCTGGGGTATTCTGCAGTTTCTTCGCACGTGGCCTTCAGCTCCGCAGTTCCAGCACTTCGGTTTCTTGACACTCTTTTTCCGTCCATGGTATTTAATTGTCTGTTTAAATCGTTTGCTTTATTTTTCGTACTATGGGGTGTTCTGCAGTTCCTTCGTATGTGGCCTTCAACACGCAGTTCCAGTACTTCAGGATGGGTTTCTTTTCTCTCCTGTTCCGTCTCAAGGCACTGAGTGGTCTTATCAAATCCCGTTTTATTTTCCAAGCCCTGGGGTGTTTTGCAATGCCTTCGTATGTGGCTTTTAGCACCACATTTCCAACACTTTAGAGCCAGTTTACTGTTACTCTTACTCTATATCAAAGCATTGATTTGTCTGGATAAATCTCTAAACTAGACATTAATTGATTCACTGGCTCGTGGACTCGCACAGTTCTGATTGGATAGCGATCTCTACGAGTTGCTTGATGGGCTGCCTCGAATTTCGCGGCGTACACTAGAGCGCTTCCCATATCTTTAATATCCGCCATTCGTAAGAGCTTTCTGTATTTCAGGATCCCGCATGCCGTCGATGTAGTATTGCAGGGACAGGATTTCCTTGTTTCTTTCGGGCATTCCGAAAAGGAGAGCTGGGACAGCCTTTCAGCATCTGTGGCGAGCTCCTGAAATGTTTCCGTTGGTTTCAGTTGACGGGATTTTAATTGAAGCCTGCTGTAGTCTTTTACACATTTCTCGCCAAAGCGCAGCTCCAGCGCACCAGATAGGGGTTCGAAGTCTAGCCTGTGATTTTCTAGAAGAGTCTGCAGGACATATGCTGCGTCTGCACTCAGAAAAGAGGCGAGATGAGAGGCCCTTAGCTTGGGAATCCCATCCATTCGCATCCGCCACTATAGAAAATTGCGTCTTATAAACTTGCCAGTCTTCCCATTATACGTAGATAGCTTCAGTGAGGGATGAAGAGGCATGGGTAAGAACTTAAAACCATTGGAATTGTTACCTGCCGTCACTACGAATTTCTTTAAAGTATTAACTTCTTTTGCAACTGTAGAAACCCTGTCATCAATTTGTTGTTCGATTTGATGTTGGACGGCCGAAACTCTTTCTTCAATTTGTTGCTCCCCCTCAGAAATTCTTTCTTGAATTTCTCCAACTTTAACTGTATCTATTTCTTCCTTCCATAGCCTCGAACTTGTTTTCTATTACGCAGGTTATTTTTCTTTTCATTTCCTCTTGATCTGCTTCAATCTTTTCCTGAAGAGCCTGCATTTCTCCTTTAACAGAAACTTGCCCAGCTCCCATTCTTTCTTGGCCAGCATCCATCTTTACCTTGATTGCTTCCATATCCTCTTTAACAGAATCTTGACCAGCTTTAATTTCTTCTTTAAATGGAGGAAAGGCTGCCATCAGCTGTCTCAACTGCTCTTCCATCCCTCTTGTTACTGGCAATCAAATCCCACTTCTGACACAAAAATGTGTTGCGGGCGTTCGGATTCGTACTAAATTGAATGCATAAATCCGATGAAAAGTGAATAAAATTTATTATTATCAGAACAAATAAAACAAAGTGCTTAAATTTCTTCAGAGATAATCGTACAATATCTCACAGTAGCTATCTTTTAAACTACTGTGACGTTCAACAGAACTTATTTCAAAACAGAGAAAGATAATCCGATTTCAACACGAATTCGCTACAGTAAACAACAACAATTTTCCAAAAAACTGAACTGAGATTTTTCCTCCCGCTTTTTATAAGCTTTATAGACAGCACGAGTATAGTCTAGTATTTTCTCGATTTTTCCCGGAAAGCTTTTCCTTCAAATAAGTTTCGTGCTGCATTGCACGGTAATAGAAAACAATTTTAATTAATTCTATTTAAAATTAGCTAAATCAATACAAAAATCGTAACTATATATATATGTGCGATGTACCAGCTTTTGTCCGGAATAAATAGATTGGTAAAGAATCATAAATGTAGTCGTAGCTTAAATTATCAGACGATAAGTTTAAAAACAGGATCCATTTATTATCATTCAGGAGAAATAGCAATTACAAAAATCTGATCTCCGGAGTAAATAAAAAAGAATTATTAATAACTTTTTGTATGAAGTTTACTGCATCGTTACATTAAAAAAAAGACCCCGATATTCCTTTGCGAGTCCTTTTATAGCCTCTGGAAAGGCGGAGCTTCTAAGAAATGACATCAGCCTCGTCAGCCAATCCAGTTCGCTTTAAATATTTCCAGAACATTCTATAACTGTACGTGTAGAAAAGGCGGGAAAAACAACTTGACTACGGGGCTGTGGATTTAATTCCACGTACTTTCAAATAAAAGACCACCGCCATTAAAAATGAAAAAGAACATACAGTTAGAAATTTAAGTGTAATTTTGACTATGGAATTTTATTATTACAAATATATATATATATAGATAGATAGATAGATAGATATAGATATAGATATAGATATAGATATAAACATTTTAACGAACTTAAAATATTTTAATTTTGCAACATTTTTTTTACTACCATTATAATCAGTTTCATTTTATGACAGTTTCTCTCTGAAGTCTTGTTCATATATTTCAAAATAAAAACTATTAAATTTAATAATGGAAGATTCTTAAAAAAATCAACTTCATTTTGATACAGTTTCATCACACGTCTGTCTTGTTTTAAAAAAAGTACTAAGTTAGATCAGGATTTTAATGATTATAAAATAATTTGCAACTGCAAGAAAGAAGTGAATTTGATTAGACATAAAAGTTAAAATAGCAAGCTTCTCTTAACATCCACAATGCCTAAACGTATTTTCATATTATTTATTTATCTATTATACATATATAGTCACATTTTAATGTATATGAAGATTTGTTGCAGTATACGATTCTTCCATTGTTTATCACTACTATATCATATTTTTAACATTTTAAGATTCTCCAGTTATAGAACTGTGACTTTATTTATTGTATGCCTGCTATGATTTCTATTAATTGCTTATCCTATAAATTTACATTGCAAGAGTTCCCCCGAACCTGCGTAACGCCGTATATAATGCTGGTGTCCAATATGGTGGCAGAGAAGAGTGGGAATTCTGCTGGCAGCAATACCAACAAACACAAGTTCCTTCTGAAAAATGGCTGCTTTTAGTTGCTTTGGGAAAAACTCGAGATCGGTCATTACTATCTCTGTAAGTTATATTTTTCCATTTTAAATTGTTTTTTACCAGTAAATTTTCATGCACTAATTACATATTGCAAATATCGATTAAAAGATCGAAACTTTCTATATAAGATGTTAAATGTAAGAATTGTTCCAACAGCTATACTAAAGGCAATATTACTCTTCAATCTTTCATTTGGAAAATTGTTTTAGAAGTAATATTGATTTAAATAACTTTACATCTATGAATAATTTCTATTTTATTGAAAATTAAAAGAATATTTACTTCAGCTATATTAATAAATATATTAATTTATGCTTATTGATAATTATTTTATCATCTGAATTTTTCATTTTTTTATTATTATTTATGTGTAAGATAAAAGTTTTTAATGTAATAATGCAAGATCGTGTACATTGTTAACTATTAGAACTTAAACACTAACAATAATAAAATATAACAACTAACATGCGTTTACATATTCCTTATCATACAAAGCTGAAATCACAGAAACTTCAGTTACGTTATAAAATACAATATGCCATGGTCAATACTGAATGTGACCACCATGTGTAGTATTAACCACTGCAAGGCACAAAATCGATGAGACTCCGAATGGCATTTTGGACTTTTGTAAGCATCTGTAATTCATTTGCAGATTTCATATTTTGTAGCCACTGATGTTTTTTGCCATGCCAGGGTATGTGACACCATAGACCAGGCATATTCATTCGCAGAAAGAACAGGTAAACACACGCCGGCCTAAGCAGAGCCATAAACTACTGTATGCAGAGGGAAGCCGCCCTGTAGGTACAGAGGTTAGTGATATTGATTGCCGTGCCGGTGGACCCACGTTTGAATCCTAGAGAGGACATGAATGTTTGTAAGAATGTAGTGCTTGTGCGGTAAGGTAGGACTGAAAACATACGGCGAGCCGAAAGTCATCTCGAGACATTGAAGCTGGGGGAAGAGGGTGGAAGACACTCGGACTGACTCTCTGTGTTGTTCTGCCACAAAATTGGGGTAAAACTTCACAGTTAATGCTGCGGGATTATACCTGTACAGCTAAAGAGCCATTCCCACTGGAGAGCTAACGGAGACATTTGACGTATCCGACCCATCTCCAAAACCAGTTTTTTTTCTATAGGGCAGCAAGTTGAAAACTCTGAACTGCAGGCATAGCGGAGCTAGTCGACACATGGAACGGACTCTTAACTCAGATAAACCCCAGTGGGAACGGCCCTTAATGGTGAATTTCATGTACTCTGCCTATTTCTACCTATATCTGTATGTAGAGGGATGTCAGATACTGCGTGCAACTCACAGTGTATACAATGGCCATATATATTGTGGACAATGGCCCCAGTATGCTTCAGAAGATATGGATTGACAATAAACTTTTACACGACTGTAGTATAACGCTGACTGATCAGAATACCAGATAAACGTATTAGAAGCGAGCAGAACTCGTATCTTATTTCTACCATACAATAATCCTCGGTGCTGGATTAGTATGATGATGCATATAGCAAAATTACAGCGACCTCTTCCGCTGGAGGGGCATTTTGAGCCTATGTCTATAGCGATGTTGCATACGGAAACGGTATTTGTTCGAGAAGATGAAATAATATTGCTCATACTCGCAACATCCTTTTTACAAAAACTTCGATATCTTTTCTTAAAAGATATCGAAGAAGCATACAGAAATTATTACATATCTACTTTTAAAAAATACTCTCTTGTGAATGACACTCTGCCCATTTTCTTTGTTTTCCCTTCAACTATCCTCATGATGCTATAGTTATAAGACTGTAAACAATCATTACAAATAAAGCATTATTAATGAGTATTCAACCTTTATATCTGTAATAATAGCTTGCGTTCGCTAAGATGTTTGAATCGGTGGCTCATTGTCAAATATGATATTTAAATCAAATCAAAGAAAATATGTTGCAGAAATATATGTTCTAAAATACTTTTAATATAGTTGCAACAGTGGGGAAAAAACCTGAAAGGTTTCAGATTTTAAATTAAGTCCAAAGGGGCGTTTTTTTAACATTTTGTGTGTTACCTTTGTTTATTAAATATCATGTCCTTTGCGCTTAGACCATGAAATTCAGTTCAATAGCAATGACGCAAAATAATTTTAAAATAGCCTATCTTTAAAATTTCCGATATTTTAAAATTTCCGATTTTTTCTTTAAAATTTCCAGTTCCACGCGCTGGAGATAAAAAGGGTTTCCCCCCCACACACACACACGTAGAGTGTTGCCATTGCTTGCTTTGAAATCCTTGAGTTTGTTAATCAAAAACTCGTTAAAGTTTTACAAAATATGAAATCGATAATAAAATAAATTGCAAATTTCAAATTTGGTCTTCCACATACGCATATTCTTAGGAGGATTACATCATTCAAAATTCTATGGCTCTATGTACCGTTTTTTTATCACAATGCGAGAAACATTTATTCAGATTTTTCATTATTTAATTTCTTCTAATATAATTGCAACAGGAATTTATAGAGATTCAACGCAAAATCGCAAACCGAAAACAATAGTCCTTCAGGGACAAAGCCTCTTTGGACTAATAATTGAACGTAAAAAATAAATCATCTTTTATTAGCAAATTTATTTCATTCATATTTCACATTTACCTCATTCTCATAGTATTTCTGAAGTTTTACAATAACGCAAAATTATAAATATTATTAAATTAAATTTTAATAAACTTCTATACCTGAAATGTTTGAAATAATTTGAAATTTGTTACAACTTTTATTCAACAATTATTGAAAATTAAATTCTGAAACAATAAAATTTTAAATTGACAATATTTTCTTTAAAAAATGTTAAATTTTTTAAATCCAATATAGTAAGTAAAATAGCATTACGCATTCAAATTTTAAAGTAGCATTAATTATTAGCACTTTTATATAATGATAATCTAAGACATTTACAGCTGCACTAACTAATGAATCACTTCACAGTAATAGAAAAATTTAACTTACTCTATTAGCAAAAATATGAAGTTAAATGAACCAATAAAATTAATAAATGCCAAAATTATTTAATTTAATTATCTAAGTAAGTAAATTTAGATAATTACATTAAATAATTTTTGCTAACAACAATTTAATTTGTTTCATAATTTGCGTATTAAACAAAAACTAATCAAATCCAGGTTTATAGAAATTTAAATAGCACTTGTTGAGAAACTTCAAACCCACTGCACCAGCACCAGTTTTGAGTTTTCTGATGACGAGTTGTATCACGATAAACGGAAGTGAAAATATCAGACAGTCAGCTGAAGGCACATTCTTGTAAATATTGAAAATGTTGACCTTCAAAGCACTGGAATGCTGAATCCTTTAAACACTCATTAAATGTCTTTATTATAAACCAGTTGACTGTATTCTAAAGAGCTGGAATCCTAGGTCTTTGAAAATCTCACTGAATCACAGATGATGATAGCACAGATGATGAGGGCAATTTTTCCCACTTCCGATATTGGACAGAATGTCCAGTATCGAAAATCATTGTTTCGTTATGGATTCAGAAAATAAAAACAGTAGTGGACTCGACACAGGTTCATTTAATCCTGGTCAGTTACAAAAATCGAATGATTCAGAAGTTGATGCATAAAGCGAGTAATAGTTATCGAGGCCACCTGAACGTTTTATAGATTCCTGACGTATGCTACCACAAATAACATGGCGCGAAAAAGCGCCTGTTCTTAAACGCATTTTAAGTAGTAGCGAAGCAATGCAGCAAATGTGACGTGTTCGAGATGAAAGCCGGATTCAGAATACTTTGGTTTTCGTTTAAATTTATTTTATTCGGTAAATTTTAAGTTTCTGTGATTATTATTAGTTTAAACCTAATGTAAGTGCGTGCCCCATTACCATGCAAGAATCATAAGATATGGATTAATTTTTAAAGGCACTGCTTAGAAGAGATGTTTAAGATGAATTAGGTGAGAATGAATGTTACAAGTTGTAATCTTACAACTAAAGTTTCAGTCCAAACAAAATTCGATTCATGTAACGAACATTTCTCACACATTATCAGTCTCTAACAATTCTATAGGCCCATAGGCTCATGCCTTGAGAGAATACGTCTAATCTCTTCCATCCACAGATAACTATAGACAAGCATCGTCCGCTTGGACCACAAGGAACTTGAGATATTAAAGAAACACGCACGTCTTGCTTCCACCAACTCTTAGAGGCTTTCGTCTGCTTGACTCCGTTCCTTTCCATGTCTGGAAGCTATCTGGGCGTTGTCTCAATTGCTCAGCACTGTGCTAAGCTGTGATGACGTCACCTCCCTAGGTATTCGCTGAATTAGCAGTCGTCGATGAATCTACCTCTACATACATAAGTTATTTTAAAGTATTATTTGGTGCAATTAGTTTGTAGAGACATTAGGTATTTTTGGAAGCAGGCAAGATGAAAAATTAGCAACGCCTTCACCGGGAATCGAACCACGGACCTCTCAATGACGCGCTGAACGTGCAGACCACTACACCATGAAGGCTTGCTAAGAAGACGGGAGAAATACCTTATAAGTTTTATTTTAGAAAACTCTTTAGCGGAATGCATCCAAATTTTGGTACAGCTCCATTATACTAAATTTGAAGATTACACCATTTATCATACACGTGGCATAGCAAGTAAAGGATATGTAAATTTTCATTTATAGTCTACGTGGCTTCACCAAAAAGCAGTTTTCGGAATATTTCCAATGGACGTCTATAAGATCTTAATGTCATTTTTCCAATTATGACTGCTTAATTAATAAGGCATTTAAAAGCAATAAATACTTTTCTTTGTAATTCAAATCACTATTTTCCAATTGATGCAATCTAAAATACATTTATCAGGTTCAATGTTTCTTCTAACCTTCTTCGGAAACATACAATGACCTGACTAGAACAGAGAGCTTACTAAAGCTATGTTCACTAATTGTAGTAAGTAGACAGGATACAGACGAAGGGTATACAAAACCCTTTATTTTTTCTTTATATAC